AGAATGTCACCGACACTGTTACAGTTTGTCTGAATGAACTGTGATGACGAGACTAATGGGGCCCCCCACCCAGGGTGAGGGTCAGTCAGATCCCCATCCAGCCTCCACCCCACCCCCAAAAGTCCAGGACCCCCCACCCTCAGGACCCTTTCACGCCCAGTAGCTGTAGCTAATGTTGCAATTCTTGGTCCGTCCCCACAAAGGCCAAGAAAAAAGTCAACTTTCACACCACTGAGTCACCATGAGTGCTTTAGGAAATGATCGTGTAAACAGAGTGTTACCTTCTGACCTGTGGCTGATACCTTGGAGCAGCAGACAAAACAGCCCGGCCGCGGGTATTAGACATGGCTGTTAGTGGGAGAAAGACCTCAAGCTCTGGAGAAACACACATTTCCTCCTCTCTCAGTTTAGCCACTCTTTCTTAAGGGTGACTGCCTCACTTTTAACCTCATCTTTCCTGTTCATCACTTAATCTGTTCTTTATTTCTTTATCTTTTTTAACATGTCATTGCCTGATTGGTATATATCTGTTTGGATAGTGTTCGCTACTCACAAAAGCACATGCGGTAAATTCTCCATTAGGGCAAAGAATGTAGAAGTTCCCACGCCTATAAGCGCCGCATGACGTCTGTGTTCAGCCACTTTACTGCCCTCCGTTTTGGTCAACAGTATAAACTGACCACTAAGCCTGTTTGGATAGAGCTCAGTCTCTTAGCACCAGTGTGTGAGGTCATTAATGGCATCAATCCCAGTTTGGGTTTATTAAAGAGCTACTCCACACAAAGGATGTGCAACTTAAAAAACTGTGCTTAACAATCAAAGAAGAAGAAAAGAAGAAGAATGAAATCCAGGCAAATTAAAAAGTAATGCAGCCAGTGAGACTTTCATAGTGGTTTCGGGTAACTTCAGAACAGGAAATTCTAGGATTAGTCAGCTTTAAATGTTAAATATCAACTGCCTTTGGGGTCAATGAAATGCCAAATAGCTAGCTTCTGGCAAAAGACTGAGCAGCACTATCAGCAATCAGTAAAAGTATTAACATTTGTGCGTGTCATGAGGAGTCTATCTAACTGTCAAAATGTGCAGAGGCCATTGGTTTAAGTCTCTGAAATTAGTGCCTTTAAACTTATTGTTCGTGCCCAATTGTAGCACAGTTACAAAAAGATAGAGAAGAGCCCGACTGATATGTTGTTGAAGGTCAATATATTGACCAATAGTCATTTGGGCATTTACAACGGTTGATAAATAAAAACTGAAAAGTAAAGAAGATCTTCTCTCACCCCAACCGGTCGCAGCAGATGGCCCCGCCCCTCCCTGAGCCTGCTTCTGCCGGAGGTTTCTTCCTGTTAAAAGGGAGTTTTTCCTTCCCACTGTCGCCAAAGCGCTTGCTCATAGGGGGTCATATGATCGTTGGGTTTTTCTTTCTTTGTATTATTGTAGGGTCTACCTTACAATACAAAGCATCTTGAAGCGACTGTTGTTGTGATTTGGCGCTGTATAAATAAAACTGAATTGAATTGAAAATCTTGTGATCTTCCAGGGCAGAAAGGGAGAATACCTGGTGTTTGATCAGGGGCTGCTATAAAAGTGGTCGGGGGATCCCGTGTCCTTGCACTGATTGGATGTATTGGACAGATGGTGGTAGTGGAGCTTCCGTGATTGGTTACGCCAGAGGGTCTCCACATAATGAGACACAGAGAACACCTTTCAGTCATGTTATGAGTTCTAATGTTACAGAGTTTGTCCACCAGAGAAATGCCACAAACGCAACAACCAGCTGTCACTCACTTATCCTGAGTGACAGCTGGCGGCCGACTCCTGACACGCACTCGCAAATGTGATCATATCTCCCTAATCCTGGCACGTTTACACTGGTTACCAGTACATCGTAGAATCGACTTCAAGATTTTGTTAATTGTAAATCTCTGAATGGATTAGCTCCATCTTATCTCTCGGACCTTTTAACAAAAAATAATCCAAGTAGAGCCCTTAGGTCTGCAGATAAGTTGCTTCTGACTATCCCCAGAACTAGACGGAAAAACAGAGGTGACCGAGCTTTTGCAATCGCTGCACCCAAACTCTGGAACAGTCTACCCCTTCACATTAGGCCTTTGCCAGCACTCGACATTTTTAAAACCCAGTTGAAAACACTGACTAGAATGAATGACTAGTCTTTTATAGTAATTACTATGTATGTTTGCTATTTTATCTCTACTATATACAGCACTTTGGTTCAACCTGTATTTAAATGTGCATATAATTTATTTTTTTTTTTTTGATTTTGATATCCTCTGCACAGGCCGGCAGAGGATAAATGAGTAATCCACAACCTGTCGCGATAATAAAATAAGATTATTGTTAAACTGCGTTAGAGAGGTCGGCAGATATTTTAGATCACCAAATATCGGTATTGATATTGGTCTTATCAGTTGAGCTCGACATAAGATGTTACATAAACCTTTTATTGGTTTAACCTGCCCGTGCTTGCTTTAGAAAGTAAACTTTAGACATTAGGATAGAGAGCAGCAGTCAGTTATACTCAGAAAAATAATAGTTAGGTATAGTAAACATCAGTGACTTAGTGAAAACATGGAGGGTAGACATTTTGAGCAGTGTGCTTTTACACATTACACGTTAAAAGGACTGATCATTTTGGCTTATTTATGGGCACCATAACCTTATTTTGACACATAAATTAAAGGGTTTCGGGTGACTTACAGCCTTTCGAAGGTTACCTCTAGTGTTTTTTTTGGTTTATGTAAGCTATGTTTATTACTTTCAGTGCAGAGAACCTAAAAATGTTTGGAGAAATGTGCAGACAAACCATTGAGAAAATGTGGGCTCTGTATAGCCGGCAATTCACCAGCCAGCCTTGTTTAAAGAGATGCTGGTTATTCGGGCATCAGCTTAAAAGAAAATATATGGAGACCAAGTGCCATTTCCACTGCTCCACACTGCTGTGTGCAGTTTCTGCTTAATATAAGGGAATGTCAAACTGCATACTCTCTATTTAATATAATAGCTGTGTTCCCCCGCCTCCTTACTTCAGTCACCTTCGCCTCGCCACCACACAGAAAAGAAGTGGCTGTGCTTTACGACAGCCGGGCAGACCGAGACCCGGCGCTAAGAAAAGCCTTCTTCTCTCTTTACGGCCTCATAAATATATTGTTATCTGTGCCTGGGAAGTCCACGGTGAGATTTATCCGTGCGATTAGTGGGGATAGCGAGCCAAGCATCCTGAATCATTAATTACACAAGAGCTTTAATTTCCTATCTCTGCTCTGTAGAAGAGACACTTTTAAGTAGGTGATGAGGCGTAGGACTTAATTATATGTCGCTTAGGTGCATTATTTTTTTTTTAAGCACTGGGATGCTGGCGGTGTGGTGAAGTTCTGGAGATTTGGAAGCGGTCCACATCAGAGAGGATCTGCAAATCCATAGACTGTATATGCTTAAGGTTTAAAGAAGCAGGGTATTTAGTGCATTAAAACATCAGCCAGCAATAAACTCTGGTGGATTTTGAAGACCTTTAAAAGGCATCGGCAGAGCAATTTCACTTGGTCTAACTAAAACAGAACATGGCAGAATATGTAGGTGCATTAGCCCGCTGGGTACGGGACCAGCAGGTTTATTTGTCTTGAAACCTTCAGTGTAGGAAAACCATTTTTTATCAAATTTATATTAACAGGTACAAAAAAACACTGAGCAAAATGAGAAGAAAGATTAAAAGGAAGTTAAGTAGAATCTCTTAATTCATTCAGATTTTCATTTGTTGAGAATTCAATTATGGTAAATGGTAAATGGCCTGTATTTATATAGCGCTTTACTAGTCCCTAAGGACCCCAAAGCGCTTTACATATCCAGTTATCCACCCATTCACACACACATTCACACACTGGTGATGGCAAGCTACGTTGCGTTTTGAAACATAAAACACCAAAGTCTACATGATAGGGATTGTTTAAAAAGCACATAGAAATGAGATAAAACCCTTTCCACCGTGGCAAACAAATCCAAGCCGAGGTCCAGGCTTACAGGTGCCCACTTGCACTCACAGTACTACATATATCAGTGACAGAGACGTATAAGAAAATTCTGGCAAGCAAAAATCAGTGCCATAAATCACACAAGAATAAGTTATGTTGATGACGTAGCACATTTCTCTCTCTGTCTCACTGTCTGCAGTTTCTCCTTTCTGCCATCTTAACGTTTAATAAATTCATGCCTGGTTTTCCGCTTCAGCTACATGCACATTCTTTTAACTCTGTTATCAAATCAGCCTCGTGTGAAAAAACGAAGACCTCTGGTTTTATACGAGTCTGTCCCAGATGTGTGCATCATAAGAAAATGCTGCTCCGCTGTGCTTTTTGTGCCTTAGCACCAAATCAGAAAATGCGCTTTGGCTCTAAACCTCTCAGCGCTTAATAAGTTAACAGGGTTGAGTCTGGTTTACTCACACGTTGATTAGTTCAGCAAAGTGAATTTTCTTTGCCATCAAAGCAGATTGTCAAAGGAAACGGTCACACTTGATTCATTTAATTGTGGCGTCACCTGAGAATGACTGTTTTCAAGCTGAAAGCAGCGTTTACTCGAAGCCCTCGCATGTATCCAAAGGTGAACTGGACTTAGGTCATTTAATAGCAGCGTATCAGTCAGGAGTTGAAAATCCTGCAAATGGATCACTAGATATTTTTTAAAAGACAAATGCAGCAATTTCATAGAATTTTCTTCTTCATTCTCCTTCATACTAAAAATGAGGCTTCAGATAAAATGTTTCTACTGTTTTCTGCCTGCTGAGTGCTGCAAAAGTGCTGAAAGCTTGGATCAGATCACAAAAAATTTTAATTGAAGTGATCAGACCACCAGGGGGTGCTGAGGCCCTCATGAACTTAACAGCCTGAGTCAAAGGAACTGATAACCTTTGACACCTGATGGTGATGAATGTCAGATTTTTTCTATTATTTATGTTTTTGTGTGTGTGTGGTGTTAATGTTTTGCAGGATCACGGACCAGCGGTATGAGAAGCTGCCATTTTTTGTCTTCGGTGACTTTAACTTCAGGTTGGACTCTAAGAAAGTTATTGAGGTGAGTAGGGTTTGTTTTCTTGACATATTAGTAATGGATGGCTATCTGTATACATTATCTGGGCGTTATGGGGATGTAATGGCACAACCGAGAGCTAATGACACACTGTACACACGTGCGGTTACGTGCTATCAAATCCATAGTGATACAGCATCGTGCCATAAAGCCTTTGTGTGTGTGACTGTGTTTGTGAGGGTGACCGCAGTATAGTAAAAGTGGTTTTAGAGCCTCACTGTCTCTTTAGAGTTATGACTCATTAAACGCTTCACTGTGGCCGGCCCAGCTGTGTTTGCCGACCGAGCCTCGGAGTGCATTGTTATGTTATGGTGCCATTCACAGCTCTTTCTCCTCTCCCTTCCTCCCTGGCTCCTTCCCTCCCCTCTTTCTTCGTCCTCCTCCTCCTCCTCCTTCCTTCTTTTGGTGCAAACGTAGCCATGGCTAAGGTCGTCGTTTAGTATTCTCCTTGGGGAGATGAGGAAATTATAGAAGACATTGCAGACAGCGTTGTGGTAACAGAGTAGGGGAGACACTTGTTAGCGGGTCTTCTCCCTCCTCTCCAGCACAATGGTCCACGAATCAGTGGGCCTGCTCAAGGTGTGAGCATTGTTCATTTCAACCCTATTCAGAGGAGAGGGAAGAGGAGGGGAGGCTTTCTGAATGGAGGGCTTGAATGCTTAAATGAGTTAGGAAGGACTTAACTTTGTGTGGCACAGAAAAAAACTTTTTTTTGTAGTTTAGCCATCCAGGCACTAGGTGGGGCAGTAAATCACCGCCTCTTCTGTGGCAGCCAGCTAAGTGGGATGGACATCACATGTTTTTACTCAGCGATCTATCGCGGGCATTGATTAATGGCCTCAAAGTTTATGCAGTACATTTGATTTTGGTGCTGTAATTGGATCACATTAAGCCGCTGGTCATGTGAGCATGCGTTGCTTTGGAGATAATAAATAAATGAACAGAATCCACAGCAGCAGATGTACAAACACACTGAGGCTATTCAGAAGTCAGCTTCTGCAATTACATGTCACCTGGCACGCATTTAGGATGCCACATTGATTTTCTGTCAACGATGGGCTGTTTTAAATCTTATCATCTCTGCGGAAAAAAAGACAGTGTTCCAGGCATTCAGATATGAAGGAAAACTGTATTTTCAATGCCAGTACTGGCAGGGAATATGGCTGCATTAAGCTGAAAGGAAAGCATCCAATAAAGTCAGATGAGATGATTCAGAGTCTATCTGTGTTTATCCTCTGCAGCTAATTATAGATAACTCTCTCCTCATGTTTCCTGTCTTGTCCAAGCTGCTCTGTGGTCGGTAAACTCTCCACCTCTCTGTGTCTGCATTGCTGTGAAATGCTGTTTGAGTGCAGTAAGGGGTCGTGACCCCTTTTCCAGGGATGTGTCAGGCTTGCATCGGTGTGTGCCCCATTTCTGCCCCCCTTTCCCCTCCATAGAACTCCTTTCTTATGCACCTTGGCCCCATTCACTTACACAGTCACATCCAATGCGAATACACACACACACACACACACACACACACACACACACACACACACACACACACACACACACACACACACACACACCAATTTGTTAGACCTAATGACTGATTGATTCGCCCTGTTCCCAATGGGAAGTTGGAGCACTAGGCCGGCGTATAAACTGCACCCAAACTCACCTTTCCTCCAGCTTAATGAGGGTTCCTCAAACAAGCCGAACATTTAATGGGGACCAAAAAAAGCTGATGATGTCATCTGACCGAAATGTGATCCGGTGATCAACCTGTCTGATTTAACGGCGACCTGCGTGTTAGCCGTAGGGAGGGCTGTGATGTCACCAATATAAACAAATGGGTTGCAACCTCTGCGCAGGGTGTAACTCACAGCCGGGAGGCCGTTTTAAGCCCTTTAATGACAATTAATGTCAACAGGACAATTAGTGCACATCTACTGAAGTGCTTAACTGTAGATGGGCTGCTAGCGGATCGATCGTCCATACTTATCCGAAGATTGATTCAGGCACAGGGAGGCTGGCGCTCTTTCTCCCTGTCTAAGAATCTCATTTTTTTGCTTTTCTCGCTCTTCGTTCTCTTTTTTTCAATCGATAGAAACAGGCTGGGCGAAAACAAAATAGCCAAACTGATGAATAGATACTTGTGTGTACTTTTGCTGTGTTAAGTGGATGAAATATTTGCAAAATTGAACTACTTGGCTTTTTCATTTGCTGTGCATTGGGGACAGCTCTCAAAACACCCAGAGGGCTCCCTAGGCCTCACTTTGAGAATCACTGGATCAGAAAATACTCTAGTACATTTCTCTACAGCTGCACGCTACACCACTCCTCTTCTTCTCTGTCTCTTGTCCATTGTGGGGGACTAGACTGTGGACAACATCTAGCCACTCCCATGTCACCCATCCTGCCTTGTGGGAGGGCAGATGGGACAGGGAGTATTTTAGGATGTATCCGTGTGTGCACAGAGAAGGAGGTGGGTTCGGAAGGCAGTGGGTTTGTCATTGTCACAGGGCAAATTCCAGGTGGCAAATTCCTGGCATGCTTGCGCGGCAGGATCAGTAACCAAAGGCCTGCGGCTGCCCCCCTCCTGCCCACCCTGGGCAACCCCATTAATTGTGTCCGACAGAGGGAATTGGTTTCAATTGACCCCCATTCAGCGGCCCTTTGACTCGCAGACAAAAGACACAGCCACGTGGAGACTAATGCTCAGGCTGAGCAGCATGGAGGTGGTCCATGCCCCGCCAACCTTCTCTCTCCTCTCCCATGGGTGTGATCATGATTTGGCTTGATCATGCTTTGCATCAGTGCTGATAAAACAAAGAAGTACAAAGGAGACGTTTTGAATCAGTCCATTTATATCCCTTATCAAGCGCTCATGTTCAAGGCACATTCAGGACATTCATGATAAGCGGTGTAAAGATAGAGCATGCTATTAAAACACGGCTGCATATCAATCTCTAACTTCCTTTAGGGAGTCTGAGTCTCATGTTTTTGAAGGAATGCCCTGAAACCTGTTAGACCAACGTTACCCCCAAAGGCTGTGTTTGGTCTTCTTCATTCACAATCGAGGCCAGATACTACCGCTCACTGCAGGTGACTGTTAGGCTTAAAATAAACCAAAAAAGTAAAATTCTGTGAGTGAAACAGGCTGTTAACAGTCCATTTAATTTATTTATTTTTTTCAAAGATGTTTCAATACTGACAGTCGGGTCTAACTGACCACCTTTGTAAATTTCAGTGCACCTTAGTATCCAGCGATAATCTTGACTGGCAAAAAGAATTTTGTGTAAGTTAGACAGAACAACTCATTTAATGATAAATTAAGCCAAAAAATTTTCAGTCGTTATTCAGTTAACAGCTTTGTTGCTAAAATGTTTAATTGAAACGATGCCGTAATTGCTCAGAGCCCAAGGGGACATGCCAGGAAACACCCTGATCTCCAGTGGTTGTTCAACCAGCAGTTAATGTTTATAATTAAATGTTAATTTGTTAAATACAGAAACGATTAATATTTAATAGGTGAGGATCTGGACTGAAATTTCCAGTTAAGGACTGAAATGGCGTAAGGATTCCCTGTATGCACATTGTTATTGTAAAATAGCAGTCATTGAAAGACAGCTAATATAAAGTCCCACACAAACCATTAGTCACTGTGTTTTAAGTAACGCTCAGGTGACAACAGTCAACCTGTACCTGTACACTTAATCTTATTATTGAAATCTGCTGCCATCCTTTCACCCTACAGCTGCTCCCAGGCTGGGCTCTCAGTTAAGAAGCCAGATCATATAACCTTTGTCGAACCGTGCACACCTACACTGAACATCTTTTTTTCTATGGTTCCACGCTTCAGTCAGAAGGTGGTAAAAGATGGCGTGTATTAAAGAGTATATGCGTGTCCCTCGAGGTGGCCCGTGGCTGTGAATCAACAGTGTCGATGACAGGCTCAGGGCTCTGTGCCTGGACTCCTAGTATATTTAAAATCCCTCCTAATTAAACTTAATAGAATGTAAATTTAATATCTGCAGAGATTGTGTGCTGCTGGCCAGCCCGCTCCAATTTAAGGATTGATAGAGGCCAGCGTGGAGGTTAATTGCTGACTTGATCTACTGTCCCCGTGACATGGTGCGGGGCTGTTTTAATTGGGCCTGATCTGCTGCTACATGGACAGATTTCATTAGACTAGCTGGCCTCTCATTGACTGGAGAGATACACTAAGAATAGCACCCCCTGTCTGCACCTGCAGGAAGTGGAGAGGGCTGGATTGGGCATCAATCTTCCTTCCTTTGTCCTGTGTCCTTTCTCTCGCTTGAGCAGCATGAAATTAAAGGTGGGGCCCTAGACTAGCCCCACTCCTAATGAATGCTGTAAAATGCCTAGTAATGACAGAGCAGCGTGATAGATCATTCATTTTTCACACAGTGCAATCACTCAGTGCACATGCTCGTGACTATGGGAGCAGAATTACAACCAAACATGTTTTTTTTGGACATCACTTTTCTCATGAATGTCATGTTTTCTTATTGAGCATGTGGGTGCAAGGACCTCAGTCATTTCCAATCTACAGCCACCTTATTTATTCCTTTTTGATAATGCAATATGAATATTACAGTGGTTGTTGTTCAGACAGTGGAAAGAAACAACGCGTATATTATCTGGAGTGTCTAACTAAAACCAGCAGCAGTTCATCAGGTCCATTGTCCGGGCTGCTGAACCTAACCCTGGTAAATAATTTGCGCTAGTAAAGGCTAAACAATTTTTCCCTTTTTAGCCTGACTTTGACTAGCATGTGTGTATCAGGCCAGCTATAAATCAAAAGGCAGCCAGTGTAATTAAGTGTACACTACATTAGTCAGGCTAATTAATTTTGGGGGCCATCCATCCATTAACCAGCGGGCCAGCACTGATTGGGCCTCTGTTCTGTGGAACCCCCGACACTGGGGACTGCGACCTTCCTTGGCTGCCCTCATCTTTCCAGATACACTCATGCA